TTGCATCTCTTATCGCATGTTTTATTTATTTGTCTATTTTTTTCTTTTTGTATGTGTATGTTCAGCGCAACTTTAGTTTTAGATTTGGGTTTTTTTGAAGGGTGGAACGGGATGTAGGCTAAGAGGAAAGATGAAAGAGGGGAGAGAGTGGTTAAAAAAGTTTAAAATTTGTTGAGTGTCATTTTCATTTTGTTTTATTTTTATTTTATTTTATTCTGTTTTTTAATCTACACAAGTTTTCTGTATATCTTTTAGTTATTCAGTTACTGCAGCCCAAGATAGTTTTAGGCTATTGAAAGGGAAAAAGTTAGGAGTTGTTTTCCATTTATTTGTTTATTTTTTTTCGAGCTGTTAACATGGAGGTTCTTTTTAAATTGATTAACGTAAATGTTTATTAAAGATATATAGCTATACGATAATAGGTACTCTGATGTACAGTTCAACGACAACAGGAGTCAGGGTCAGTCAACGTTTGGCGTTATCATATCGTATTGCAGTAAAAAAGCTCAAAATTGGGGGCGTACCAGGAAATCCAAGATAATTTATTATTTATCATTTATTTTCTTTATAAAGAGTGCAATCATACTTTTTGCAGTTCTTATTTTACAGTTATTGCTTATTGCTCTAAGCGTATAGTTTTAAGGCTGCGTCTACAACGATGTAAATAAACTTTGTTTTACGGTTTGTCAGTTATAGTGCTTTCGATTCTCGAAAAAAATACAAAATAAAAATTTTTTTTTTTCGTCAGTTATCAAGTTTTTGATTGCAGGTGCAATCACTGCTAAAGTGTTCTTTTTTTCAAAGTTAATTTCTCCTTATTTGCACTGATATTTTTTTGGTTTTAGAATAACTAAAATTGTATTTTAATCGGTCTTGTTTACCCACTTTTAATACTTCATTTTTTTTTTCTTTTCTGGTAACACTTGCAGTCATCAGAAGTTTTTAGTGGTGTGATGTTTTTACTTGTTTCTACACATACAAAACCTTGTTTATTTTAGTTACAAATTTTTTAAAGATTTAATTAGACTTCATTTTTGGGTTCAGATAGTGTTTTGTCTTTACTGTTTAAGTTTATTTTTTTATGCTTATAAATGTTTAGATTTTTTTCAGTGAATATACTTGCAAAATAATGCTTTTAAGATTTTTATGATTGTTTCGTTTAACTTTTTTTTTTTATATTTGTTTATTTATGAATTTTTTAAAGCGTTCTACAATTCTGTGTAACGAAAGGATTGAGTTTTTGAATTTTTGTTGTCTGGCCAATATATGGAAATTGACAAGCAGTGGTGTTAGCGGAATTGTTATTGTTGCTGGCAAAGGAAGTATTGCATTAGCAATGTTGGATACCTAACAGTTGGTTAGAAGGCTGAAAACTTCAGCAGCATATGTCGTTTTCTGATATGGACATAGATGGGGAAAGTCAGCGACGTCAATTGGTAAAAAAAGCTGTTAATTAAAAGGCAATTACTATGGTCACAGAGAGAAGAAGGAGAGAGAAGTGCCAACAGAGACAGATGCAGAGACAGAGAGAGGGGGAGAGGTTGCAAGTACGCACACGGAACACATTTGCACACTCATCACTCAGGTTGACATTTTCAGATAGTCTTTATACAAGCATTTAGCTCATTCATACTTTTTATTTAACAAATTTTACTCACTGTCACAGCTTTTGGACCATTGTAACTGTTTGTTCACCAGTCGTTTATCAACCAAATAATTTTCAAACTTTTTACGAAGAATTTCGCTGAAAAAAAAAAACAGTTTAAAAATTCTTGAAATGGTGGCTGATTTATCAGCATTAATTAGGGTTGTGATAGAGTTAAGTTTTGAAAGGAAATGGGTTTTTTTCCTATTTTAACATTAATTCTGTTTTTATTGACAAAATGTTCCAAAGCAGTTTTTATTTTTCAATGATTTCAGATTGCAGGCTTTTTCTTTTCTTCCGAAAACTAGAATTTTTTGCAACTATGGGTTTTTTTAGATATATTATTGGTTTTATTGGCTGCACCTGATGATAAACATTTTGGATTTTTATAGGTGAAATTTTCTATTTTTTTTTCATTTTTAATTGCGTGAAAAAATGCTGTTATAATCTGAATTCAGTGTTATTTAGCATTATAGTCCTTGATTTCTACAAGTACATCAAATATATTTCAGTTTTCGCATAAAAAGCTCTCTTTTGTTTTGAAAATAAATTTTCAGCTGATGCTTGTTCTCGTTCGCATGAATCAAAAAAAAAGGGAAGACATTTAACGCATCAGAGAAATATTTAAATGATGGATATGTCACATCTTTTTCAGAGAAGCTAGTAGTAGTTTTCAGGAAAAAAAAAATGTTTTTAAATGAACTTATTCATCGGTTTTTTCATTGGCAGTTAAAAGATATTAAATAAGTAAGGGCAAAAAAGAATCTTTGTTACTTTTTTTTTTAACAGCTTTTTCAACGTTATAACTGAAATTGTTGTAAATGTTTATTTTACTGTTTGTTCATTTATTATCATTATGCAGATTTTTTTTTTGTACTTATATACCGATGAAAAAATTTTTGTTTTTAGGGCTGTACAGTTGTTGTGTGAATGTACCGTCAATTAGGTGTGAATGTATACTTCCGGTAATTTTACCGATTTTTCTTATTTTATACATATATATGACTTCAACTTATATATTTATTTGAATTTTTCATTGATGACATCTTATTTGTGAACTTTATACTTTTAGTTTAGAAGCGATTGACACTTTCAAATTTGATATTTTGTTTGAAAGTTCTTCCTGTTTTTTTTTTTGCTTTTTGTTTTTGTTTTTAGTGTATGGGTATTATGACGATCGATGACTTCGTGGAGGTGTTATGAAAGTTTAATTTTTGAAGATTTGGCTTGTTTTTTTGATGATGAGTTTAGTCTCAGTTAGGAGATTTTAGGAAATAAAGTGAAATAAGAATTTTTTTTTTGTTTATATAAATGTTTCTGTTTAAACTGGCTAATGTGCTGGTGAATAGTAATATATTTGAGGTGATGTTTGGTCGATTTTGATGTTTTACAGTTCTTAAATACTCAGTTTTTTTGCACATTGCTTTTAACACTTTCTTTATTAAGGACTTCAGGTTTCAGTTTTCTATTCACTTTTACACATAGGAATTGCAAAAAAAATGTGTGTCAATTTTGAGGGTTTTATTTTTTTTTCTTCATTTTTTGTTTATTTGTATTTGTTTTTTTTTTTTTTTATTTGTATCGTATGAGTTATAATTTTCGGTTCTTTGAATTTAATGAATAGCTTTTATCTTTTTACTCTTTTAAATTAGTTTTTAGCTTTAATCGCAAGCTCAACAACAAAAAAATTTCATAATTATTTGAGAAGAGGTTTACTTCTCTACGCGTGGTTTTTCTTCATTCTTCGTTAATGAGTTGCAGTTCTAAATTATAGATTAGTAAAATGTAATTAATTGAGCTGTTATCGTGTTCTCAGTATTGTTTCTCGGCACTTTTTTTTTGTTGAATAGCCATTTTTTTGTAGAGTTATGGATTTACCCACCGCCTTGAGGAAAGGCTCAGACGATGGCGATGAAGAAGAAGATGTTGAAGTTTATCGAGGGCGTGCAATAAGGTGAAATACAACAATAACATTTTTATAGCTTCTTTTATGAAGTTACAAGCATTACAAATCTCATATTTTTGTATCTGTATATTCACTTTTTAAAGTTTCAGCCCAGATGTACCTTAAATTTCTAGCTTGTTTCAGGGGTGAAGAGACAACTGGGTTTCCGGAGGTACGATACGCAAGAGGTAAAAAGGAACCAAAAAACTTTTCTCGATATAAACAAAGTCTCAGAAATGCTTTACTGGTTCGTCGAGGAACGAAGTAAACCTCTCTACTTAATGTTTAAAAAATTAATAGTGTTAAGGAAATTTTAGCTTTATTATATTCAGGTCTTCTGAACCAAACACGGCGAGAGTCGATGAATCGGGTTTATTTTCATTTGTGACTTACACCTGGATATTTCCATATTTGTGGGCTGCATTTAGAGGACGCTTAAGTCATAACCAAACCTGGAATTGCAGTATCTATGATTCTTCGACGGTCAATTTAGCTAGGTGGCTTCTTTAACAATTTAATTAATAATTTTTGGAGAAGGTATTGAGAGTTGACCTAACCAATAATTTTTAATTCTATAGTTTATGAGGTGCGTTTTAGGATTGAATATTTGTGGAATCAGGAACTGGCTCGGAGGCCGGAAAACCCATCATTATTTCGAGTCGTATGGGTTTTTATGAGGACGCGAGTTATCATTGCCTGCTTAATTTTTTTGTTTTGCCTCACTTTCGGATTTGTTGGGCCAACCTGCCTCGTTCGTCGTTTGATTTCATTTGTCGAGAGTCCTGATATGAAAGGGAAGCCAGATAGTCTGAGTTACGGCATGCTCTGCGTTTTTGCATTGTTGTTCGTGAGTTTTGATGGTATTTTTCCTATAATTTCTTCAAAATAGTCTTCATATCTTTTTAATCTATTTGTCTGTAGCTCAATCTGGTAACGGAAAAAGTATTTTGTGGTTTGCAGTGGAGGATATTTAGGTTGAGTTTTCAAGAGTTTTATCTTACGGTGGAACATGGGCTGTCAGCTATCGCACAGCAATTCGTGCTCGTGGAGCTCTTTTGGCATTCTTGTATAAAAAGTTAATTAATGTCCGGACACTACGGAAAAAAACAGCTGCTGAGGTGGTGATAATTAGACGACGATATTTTACTCTAATGTTGGAAAAATTTCAAAAGATTTTAAAAACTTTTGCTTGTTTAGATAGTAAACGTTTTCGCAAACGACAGTCAGAGGATATTCGACGCTGTGACGTTTGTTCCTTTGGTGTTAATGGGGCCGCTGGTTATTGTTGGAGGGATAATTTATCTTATAGCCCTCATCGGTATCTGGTCTTTTCTCGGATTTTTGGTCTTTTTCGTATTCGATGTTTTTCAGGTAAGTATATTCAACATTTTGATTTTTTTTTATTTCTAAATTATTTTTTCTACACCTATAATTTGATAAAAATAGCATTGTTGCATTTGCAAATTTGTCACTGTGCAGGCAACTTGAAAAGTGCTTTGACAGTGTGAAGGTGATGTAAGTGTCATGTTCTGAATGCTTTTCAGTTCATCCTTGGAAAGACAATGATCAAGTTCAGGTCTTCTGCTATTCAAAAAACCGAGAAACGCGTAAGTTTGGCTCTTGAGTCTTATTATCTGTGCAAAATTTTTTCTTATGAAAGTTTTTCAGGTCAGTGTTACCGGTGAAATTGTTCGATGTATACGGGCGATAAAGGTGAACTGTTGGGAAGATTCATTTCAGAAGACTGTTGAAGGTATTTTTTGTAGACACCTAGTAACATTCTAGTATTCTATAAAGTGACTGGAACATAATACGGATTACCTGCTTTGTTCTCTGAAGATTATTTTACATCATTTTAGCTATGCGACACAATGAAAAAGTTGATTTAAGAAAAGCTGGGTTGGCTCAGAGCTTGGCTATTGCAAGCGGACCGATTGTTCCTGCAGTAGCTGCAACTGCAACGTTTATAGCCGTTATATTTTCTGGACATGATCTGCTAGCAAGCGATGTAAATTAAATTTTTTCAATAGTGTTTTTCTAGTTTCATAGGAGATGTCGTGATAATATGGTTTTTCTATATGACCAGAAAATTGAATTATTTTTTCAGGCCTTCAGTGCTATAACAGTATTTTTTGTAATGTTGTTCGGTGTTCGTATGATTCCTTATGGGTCGAGGTACTGTGCTGAATCTATAGTTGCTTTGCGAAGGATTCAAGCTCTTCTTCTTTATCCACCATATGATGACCAGATTCCCCAGCCTAAGGAAAGTGGCATGGCTGTTTGTTTAAAGGATGCAGTTTTTAGCTGGGATGCAGAAGGTGTTTTCTTTGCTTTCTTTGCTTACAAACTATCCAACTGTTTTTATGAATCAGATCTAATTGTAAGATCTCAGCCGTTCTGACTGTATCTTACCAAATAGCAAATAGCATAGCAGAGAAGATAACACTTTTCAGTTTCTGTTGCCGACTCACCGAAAGAGGGTTTAGTGGAAGGTGAAGATAAAGGGGCCTCTGCTTTTCAGTTACGGGTTGCTGATTTGAAAATAAGAAAGGTTTGAGTGTTATGTCTTCGAATACTGGGCTTAATTTTTATTTCGGCTAACTGGACTTATTGACTGTTTTAGAAGGAACTGATTGGCATTACTGGGACTGTTGGAAGCGGAAAAAGTGCCTTACTAGATGCCATTTCTGGTCACGTAAGTGGAACTGTTAATTTTTCTTTTACTACTGCGAGATTGGAATTCTCATTTTAGATGTTTCACGTAAATGGATTGTTGTCGGCTGTGGACAGTGTTGCATATGTTACGCAAACACCTTGGATACAGAACCTTAGTGTTCAGGACAATATCCTGTTTGGTCTTCCCATGCACACAAGTAAATACTATCGAGCGATAACGGCTTGCGAG